GGGGGGGGGGGGGTAGCAGCACCCCCCATAGCCCAGAAGGAAGGCTCAGCCCTTCACCCAGCATCTGCACCATCACCCAGGGCAGACAAGACCATCCAGCTCCTCTGCCCAGTCCCTGGATGAGTGTGGGGGGTTGTCACCCAGTGTCTCAAGAGCAGTCTCATGTCAAGAGCAGTGTCTCAGGCAGGCTCTGCCGCAGCACTGCCTCCAGCAGCTGCAGCTTGGAGGAACAGCTCAGGATCAGCATTGCCGGCCGGATTGAGCCCTGGCAACCTCCAGAGGGCATACCGCAGGCACCTGGGGAAGGGGAGATGCCATCAACTCCCTGAGAGCCATCTCTGTCCCCCCTCTTCCCCACAGAGACACAGAGAAGGCCACCCCACAGAGAGACCCTGCAATAACAGACCTGTCTGTCAGCTGCTGTCCCCCAGCCAGCTGGGGCTGCTTTGGGCAGGGCAGGGGGCTTTCCACTCACCTGCACGTTCACTGTCCCTGCGGCAGGGGTTGTCCTGGGAGCACAGTGGTGATGAGGTGTCTGTGGGGCAGGGTGGGCTCTGCCTGGCCCTGCCCTTGGGGTCCCGGCCGCAGGGGCTGCTGCAGCCTCTGATCCCAGCAAATGAACCATTAACAGAGATGGTGCTTGGCTGGCCTGGACGGCAGGGCAGGATGGGACAAGAACGTTTCCTGGGGTTGGTGCAGCAGTAGTAAGTGGGACCTGGGAGGCTGGGAAGCAGGGTACATCTGTACCATCCCCCCCCAGCAGCAGATCTGCCTGTGGGGAGCACAGCAGGAGTGCTGGCTAGGGATGGCTCCAGGATACTCTCGCTCAGAGGTTCTCAAGCTGTGGTCTGTGGACCACCACTGGTCTGCAAGCTCCATTTAAGTGGTCCGCAGAAAGGTTGCCGAACAATCAAGAATATGGTGCAGCAGCTCTGCAAAGCGGTGACTGGTGCCAATGGGCTAACCAGAGAAGTGGCGCCATATGGGCACCCCGCCAAACATCAGGGGAACCTGTCACCCCAGTTTGACATTTATGTCCTGCCTCAAGAGCGCCCCGTGGAAGACCAGGAACCTCCTGTTGTACAGGCACACAGATGCAGAGGTAGTAGGTTGTGTGAAAGTGGTGCTGAGCGAACTCCAGACCTACTACCAGAAATCGGTTGTGGAGAATGAGACAGAGACATGTGGCACAGGACCTTCCAACTCCCCCAGAGCAGGAAAGGGGGCAGCGACGAAGAGGAAGAGACAAGGGGAACTGAGGACAGTGACAGCAGCAGCAAATTCTTCAGTGGGAGCTGGAGCAATAGTGACATGGATGACAGGTGAATTGAGTATGTGACCTTGCAAGCAGGGTGGAAATGAAAGGAAGGGGTTGCCTGGTTTGAGACCAGAGCTAGTCTGGTTGTGTGTGTTGCACGCAGAGCGGATATTGTAACAGGTTCAGGTGGCCAGCGGGTCATTGTATGGGTGTGCGGGCCCCACTGGTGCAGTTTTTGTAACAGGTTTAAGGTTTTTCTTTGTAGAGTGATACTCAGAGTGTAGATATATATAACCTCATTTACATACATACGTATATATATACATATACATACATACATATATATATATATAGACATATTTTTCCAAAAAAAAAAAAATCTGTACTTGTAAGAGGGTGGTAACAGCAAGGAAGAGGAAGAGACAAGTGGAGCTGAGGACAGCAACAGCAGCAGCAGGTCCTCCAGCGGGAGCTGGAGCGACAGAGACATGGACGACAGGTGAACTGAGTACGTGACCCCACAAGCGGAGTGGGGCTGAAAGGAAAGGGTTGCCTGGTCTGAGGGACCAAGAGTTGCTTGTGTGCGTGGCGCGCAATGCGGATATTGTAATGGGTTCGGGTGGCCAGCGTGCCTTTGTACGGGTTCTGATTTTATTAGGGCGTGGTGATGGGTAACCCAATTTTTCTTGCCACCCCCCAAGAGTCAAAGTGTAAGTCGAGCCCTGCCGGACCCCACTGCAGCCTGGCCCCGGGGCTCGCCCTCCACCTCCTCCAGGGCTGCTCAGGGCAGGTGACCCCGGCCACGCTCCAGTCCGCCCTCCCCCCTCGGCCCGCCTCGCCCTGTGTCTGCTTGTGCCCAAGGCGCTGGTCAGGAGACGGGGCGTCCCGGGCCCAGCCGCGTGCCTGGCTCCGCACCCCCAGGCTGCCACCCCCGTCCTCCTCCTCTTCGCTGTGCCCCGGGCCGGGCCCGTTCTGCCGGCTCAGGCCCATCCGCACCCCGCACGCATTACCTAGGCCCATCACCACGCCCACGTCCCGCCCTGTCTGTGACGCCACAAGGAGGTGGGAACCCCGTGGGCCCCAGCAACGCCCCGCTCTGCGCACATGCGCGCCTGACCCCCGCCAGGGTCTCCGGGGAGAGGTGTTCGTGACGCCCCCTTGGTGCCTTCCCGCGCAGTGACGTCACTGTGGCGGGGCAGCGCGCGGAGGGGCCAGAACCAGGTGAGGGGCGCGGGCGGGGCGGGGGCTCGGGCGCCGGGGTCCAATCTGCGGCCTGGGGTCTCCCCGGCCT